CGCTATTCAAAAAATATTCGAAAAGTGGCATTGCGCTCGACTATTTCGCTGAAACGGTGGCGAGGCATAGATTTAGCTCCCTCAACCACCATTATTACTGCAGATGCCTTCAGTTCATTAAATTCTCTCTGTTTGCTAATCCTAAATACCATTTTAAATTTGTTAACTCTAAAAGAAAAATTTCCACCTATCCCTCACATGTTTCTTTTAATGGCTCTGATTCCTCGGATGATTTTGAAATCTCAAATCTGTTTGCTGAGTATTTCCGACGAAACTTTTCGGTTGCTAACTTCGATTTATCAGCAAACTACCCATATCCTATATCTAATTCGTTTTCAATTCCTAACTTGGTTATTTCGGACGATGACGTTTCTAAAGGGTTGAGTTCTCTAAAATACAGTTGTGCGCCTGGACCTGAAGGAATTCCATCATGTGTACTTAAATCTTGCTCTGTCGAGTTATGTGGTGTGAGCTCAAAGATTTTTAACCTTTCCTTGAATTTAGGTGTTTTCCCTTCATGTTGGATGAGTAGTTTCCTTATTCCTATCCACAAAAGTGGAAGTAGACAATTTGTTGAGAACTACAGACGCATAGCCAAGTTGAGTGTCTTGCCCAAGTTATTCGAGCGAATTGTGACTCAGCATTTGGCCTTTGCCATTAATTCGTATATTTCTCCGCACCAGCATGGCTTTCGGAAAGGGCGATCTACAGTTACCAACTTGTTAGAGTTTACTGGTCATATTTTCAAGGCTTTTTCAAGTGGCTCTCGCCCAGATGTTATATACACTGATTTAAGCAAAGCGTGCGATATGGTTAACCATAACTTACTTATCTTCAAACTGCAAGTCTCTGGCTTCCCTTTCTATTTAGTGAAATGGATAAGCTTTTATCTGCACAATAGACCCTTCGGGATTTTGTTTAACTTCATCACCTCGGACGAATTCCCCGTTATGTTTGGCGTACCTCAAGGTAGTCATCAGGTCCCATTTTATTTAGTTTATACTTTAATGATCTCCCATCGGTGGGTAATTCCAGCCAGATCTTAATGTAAGCTGATGATTTGAAACTGTTTTCTTCGTTCTCTGTTGAATCGCAATCACATCAGCTTCAAGGTGACTTGGATAATTTTCTTGCATGGAGCTCTTTGAATTTTCTGAAACTAAATCTGAGTAAATGTAAGAAGCTTTCTTTCTCAAGAAGAAAGGCATTCCTCCAAATTGGAGGACGTCGATTCGATCACAGATTTAGGCGTTCTATTTGACCATAGGTTACGTTTTAACTTGCATATTGAGCTCTCGATAAGCAAGGCTAGAACCGCGCTTGGTTTTATAAAAAGGTGGCTTGATGATCCCTACATTACGAGAAGCCTGTACATGTGTTTGGTTAAATCCATACTCGAGTATGCCTCTGTTGTGTGGTCTCCTTCATATAGGTGCTATGTAGATTCAATTGAATCTGCTCAAAAGCAATTCTTGCTGTTTTCCCTTAGAAATTTGGGTTGGGATCGGATTGCCTCTCTTCCTCCCAGAGACTAAATGCTTTTTGCACACGAAGAAATTTAGCTCAAACGGAAAAGTGGTCGCCGAAACTGAGGTCTGCCCACATCTTTCCACAATAAAGGCTTAAAAAGGTTAGACGAATGTTGGAATTAATAGATAATAGAAAGTTGAGTTGGTATGTTGATGGATAAATTGGAGTTTCTAAAAAATATCTTGTTTTTCTTACTTGGAGCGGAGTGGTCTGAATTGTGTAAGATAATAGGCAACTACTTCAGAAACGAGTAATTCAGTTTATTATTAGATTTTGTAAAATCACCATTTAACTAAGTTCAGGCACCGGGTGACATCTTGACACTTGAATTGATAGAAGAAACAAAGGACACGATGGATTAAGAACAAAAAGAAAAATAAATCAAATTGAGAAAGTTTTCAAGTTTCTCAAAGTGCAAGATTTTCCTACCCTATTATGATTTGTAGCCGGCATAGCCTTTGGAGAAAGAAGAAGTAATGGCTTTTACCTTTGACGGCATTTGGCGGGCAAGTAGGAGATTTTGAGATTATGAACAGAACAGGTAAGGCAGCAAACGTAATGATAAGCTGAATTGTTCCAATGACACAGGATGAGAATTCAAAACGTGACGAGTGCTATGCACGTGGTTTTGTACGACATTGAATGACAACAGTTATCCACGTGTTCGACTCGGACCATTTGTTCAGTTCCTTAAAAATCATGTTAAAGTGATCATTGAATCTTTCGTTTCTTCATTTGGTTATTATCAAATTGCTCAAACAACAATAGGAGAGTATTGTTCGCACATGGTGGGTAGGTGAAGGATATGCTTCAGCTATGAAAATAGCACGAGATGTTTTTTTTTCATCTGGGTAGGTAACGCTTCATATTACAATACTTAACGTTATGGTTTAAGACTTGTCTTTTATACTTTTGAATTGCATAAATTACTTTAACAGAAATGTATGAAATAATTTTTGGCTAAGAGGCAATGCTATCTTATGAGCATGAAATTAGGGATGATTTGTTTGAAATTATTTATGAAAGACCTATCATGTTACTGTTTGTACACATGGTTGTCGACTAATATTACGTTGGCTACAAAAATTTGTAATGCATTTTTAAAACCAAAACTGTGCCACTGTACACTCTCTCGCGCAACTACATTTTTTAAAAGTGTGTTGTTGGTCGTGTTTCTGCCGGTCCCAACCCTGTAAGTGAGAGGGAAATTAGGAAAAGGTTTTTCAAAAATGGTGAAAGGCGTATTATTACTGCAAAATATTTATTAAAAAACAAGTAAGAGCAATATAGTCGGCTAAGGTCGACTATTGAATACTCTCCACCACTTCACAGCAGCTGTTTATTCAATTTCGAGTGATAATAGACCAAAAATAATACCTTCTTTTATTTTCATGAGGATGCTCGAAACATCGACTAACATGATCCAAATATAGGAAACTTAATTTACTTGGCAAAAATTTTATTGTTTTCTATTTGCTTCCGTCATAAAAAAATGTAAATTTGACTCCATCAGCATATAATGACTTAATTTTCATGAGAGACCCTGTATTTGATGGGGTCTAAAAAATAGGTCTACATGATCCAAACTCTTTACGACAAATTTTTATGCTACATTGCTATTACGGACCAATTTTCATCATAGACGTGATTTGCATATAAGGATTTAATATTGCATGGCAATCCTTCTATGCAGTAGTGTCCCCAAAAAGCTGATCTTGGTACCGTTATCAAATTACTATTTTGAGCCAATTTTCGTCGTAAATTATTAAAAATTGGAAATGCGTGCCTTATAAAGACTTATTTTTCGTATATGGGATAAGATCCAATTGCCTTAAAATTAATTTTTATGTTAGATTATTACCGCGAACGGTTTTTGGAAGTGTTTCAATAGCTATCCTCTTTGGTCCAAAACACGTATAAAATTTCATCAGAACATCTCAAAAATTGTGATCTGTAAGTTGAACATACGACTAAAAGACGGACAGACCGACATAAAACTTTAGATAGACTCGGCAACTGATTCTGAGTCGATCGATATAATAAAATCGATCGATAAGAGAAAAGGAAAGGATTTGTACCGATTCTTTCCGATTGTTGCATGCCTTTATATCGAAAATGGTGTAATGCATAATCATTAGCATTATTAAAATATGACTAAAATATAGACTAGAAAGATATGGGGGATTGAAAAACAAAACCACCACCATTGCAATCTTTGGCGTCCCACGCATTTATTTATTGTCATAAATAAAATATTTATGTTTCGCCTTTTACTTGACTAAGAGGTATTGTTAAAAATCTACCACCATCGTGTCATAACTAGTTTAGAATTAATACACTTGGCTTTTCGCCTTCCTGTCTCCAAGGCTTTTTATTTGATAATCATATGGAAGGCATTTATAAGAAATAATTTACCCACCATGTCGTGACGTCCACTACGACTACTTTAGAATTAATGCACTTAGCTTGTCGCCTTTTACTTTCCTAATCGTTTTATCTGATACTGGTATTGTTAAGGAAAAATTAATCCACCAGATCGTGGTGTCCACCATATTTATCTTGGAATTAAAGCATTTTTAGGCAGACAATATGTCTTGATTTGAGGATTATACTAAATAGTTTTAGACTTTCGGTCTTGCTCATCTTATGATTAATAAAAATGAAGCTTTAAGAAAGTGAAAAAACGAATATTTAATTACTTTCAACTTTGTAAGGGCATGGCCGATTTTTGTACATGAGTAGCAGAGTTTTTCATAATATAATTGTGGAAAATGTAATGTGCAAAAAACCATAAATGTCTGTTTACAAGAACTGAGTTGTATTTAGTTCACGCTTCATTGCGGATTTGTGCGCTGACCAATTCAGCCCATTTTCAGCACCAAGCTGTGGGTAAAAACTTGCAATGTTTCTAGCAAATTTGAAGTCGATATCTTCTTTTTTGGGAGCAAGAGAGTATTAACAACGCACACCACACCGACAGACATGGATTTAAAAGTTCATGCTGATTAGGAAAAATATTTTCGTGTATTATGATCGTTCGTAAAAAGGGTAAAAGTTTAGACTTCATCAAGATCGTGGCAGAGAAAATTTGTTATAAAAATTTTTGTTTCAAAAGAGGAATCAATAACCGAGAGATAGAGCTTGGGAAAAAGCCTCGAAAGCCTGCGATATCGGACAAAAGTATATTGACATCCTGGCTATGAAACATATGAAACGAAAAAATTTGCTTCTGGAAAGCTGGTACCTGATCTACCGAATTTGAGTGCCGCAGTCAGAGAGTTTACTCTTTGCAATTTATAATTTTGCGATTTTTACCTACTTGTTTCAGTTGAAGTGTGTTACAAATTCGTTTCAAAGGCAACCGTAATGTTATTATTATTGTTATTTATTATTTTTTTTAAATTTATTAGAAAATTTTAATGTTTCGCCCAACTAAACTGAAGTACAGTAAGAGCTC